GAGTCTATGATCCAGGGATTGCGAGTGGAAGACAATAAACAAGTGGAAGCAGTACTTGACTAGGCAAAAGTAACAGTGGAAGGAGATGGAACAGCCTATTGCTGGGACAAGAACTGAGCATTCTCCTATTGTGTAATAGTAATCGATCCAGTGTCTGGTGCAGTTGACTGAGGTATGGAAGCAACAACAGAGGTGACATCTTGATAGGAAGCCTGATTCGTAGCATCAGAAGGTTTTTCATGTAAATCCCAACAGAAATCAATAGTGTGCCCTCCAAGGCCACAGTGAGTATATGAATGAGGTCCACTACGGCCTCCACGACCACCTGTACGACCTCCTCGACCACCATGACCACCTCGATGACAATCACTATGACTACTAAGAACCACAAGGGCTGAGCGATCAGGGGAGACACCATGATCGATGCCTGCAATAGACAAAGTAGCACGCTGTACACGAGAGAAAACCTCTAGTAGTGAGGGAAGACTAGAATCACCCAAAATCTGAGAATGAATAGCCTCATATTCAGGTTTCAATCCTACCAAAAACCTAACAACATTCATGTCCTCGTGTTGCTTCTATCAAACTGCTGCACCAGTAGTAAACAAATGGTAGGTCTTCATCTCCTCACAGATTCCCCGAACATGAAAATAATAATCCTCCATGGTCAGGGTACTCTGTTCCATCCGGCAGTACTCCTTGCACACCTCATAAGCTCGGGTAAAATTACTTGTACCAGAATACATAGTGGTCAAGTGATCCCATATCTCTGTGGTAGTGTTAAGATTGAGCAGGGTAGAACTAATATTAGGCTCAATGCTATTCAACAATAAAGAGATAATCTGAGCGTCCTCTTATTCCCACTAATTATACCCTGGAGTGTCTTCCTTGAGTTTAGGATTAACCAAATATATCTTAAAACATTTGCCTCGAAGGAAAACTTGAGCAGAGCGGGACCATAAAGTATAATTGATCCAATTTAGTTTAACGGAGGTCATGAGACCATTATTAAGAACCGAAGAAGAAGAGGTAGGTGGCAAAGATGGAGTAGGGGAGTTACCATTAGCACATTGCTTGGGTTCAATAGCAGTGCAGCAAATAGAAAAAAAAAAGAAATCACTAGATCACTAAATCGGACAAGAATTATCTACTGCACTATTGAACCGAAGAAGAAAAGGTTGCTGAATCACCAAACTGGGCTGGAGAACCTAACTAGAGCGCTAAACCGAACCAGAGAAGTCCATTGGACCACTGAATCAGACCAGAGAAGTCCAGTGGACTACTAAACTGGAGACAAAACAGATGGATCCTGGCTGAACTGGTCTAAAACTGACTGAACTGGGCGTGAACCAAACTTGAGCCGGTTTGGTCTGAGGCTACTGGATCTGAGTCTGGATCTGGGTATGGATTTGGACTTGGTCGTCTTCTTCATCAAAGAACAAACTCTAATGCTCCTCCTTTAACGTCGACTGCTCCTCCTTCAATGTCGACTGCTCTTTCAACGACGGCAATGAACACCCAACAAACAATCAATTCCACCACCGACGCAGAACCAGAAGCCACCACCAAGAACAATCAGTCAACGCAAACCATTGACGCAAAACCAAATACCAAACTCCACCACGAAGCAAAAACGATCGTCGACCACACCAGTCGACTACCGCCACCACCGAACAAGATAGCCAACTTCAACCACACTAGTTGACTACCATCACCACTGGACAAGACAACCACGATGAACAACACAACACAACTGTGACCCGGAATTAATATTTGTATTGTTTGTGCTCTGATACCATGTTAAGTGTAGATGATTAACACATAATATTAGAGAGAAACAGAGAGGTTAAAATTTAACCTAGCTCTCATACATCACTTGTATTTATAGATCACTTACAATAATAAGAAAGACAAATACACCCTCTTATATTTATACATAATACCCTAACACTCTTAACAATTTACACATAATACCCTAATACTCTTAACAGAAACAAGGAAAATTTCACATAAAATTTATTGAAATTTGAATCCTGATAAATCCAGAACTCGTCCCAAATATTGAAACTTGCATATACCTATTTTAGATCTACGAGTGTAGAGTTGTTCCCATATCTACCCCAAACTCACCCCACCATTACTCCTAGCTTATCCATTGTTGAAGCCACGAACCCTCCCTGTTCTCTCTCTAAATCGACGTGTCAAATATACATAAACATGGGGGACTAAACTCTAAAGCATGGAAAAAATGGAAATAAAAAAGAGAAAATAGACGATAGGAAAAGGAAACATCTGCGTGCTCGGTGGTCAGTGAAATATGGGAGGGAAGGAAGAAAGGAAAGAGCTCTGCACCCATGACGAGAGAGAGTGAGTTTGCATTAGCAAGGAGAAAAACAGTGATAAGAGAGAGGAGGTTTGCCTTGGTAAGGAAAGAAGCATTAAATGAAAGGTACAAACTTTACGGCCTTTTATTAATGGTGAACACGCAACACGATAAGATATGGCTGTAAAAATATATAAGAAAAACATAATATGTATATGTTACGTAGGAATGCTTAGTTTGCTTGATAGTTTGCACGAGCCTTTGGGCTCAGCGCCTTTAAAAATTAGTTTTAAAATTATTCAAATTCGGCTCGTATTACGAAATGAGATAAGACCGAGTAGCTCAGCTTGTTTAACAACACTACCCACTTCCCACCTCCCACCTTTAATTCCCCCAAGTCAATCCCCCAGTTAAGAGGGTTTCGATTTTTAACGAAATTAGGAAGATTTTTGTGATTACATTTCTGGTTATGTGATTTGATTGGGTTATTATAATTATATGAATGTGTGAAATGTTGATTCTGATTTTTGGATTTAACATGAATCTCTGGGGATGTGCGGCATAGATAACATGGCCACGAGAGGTTTTGTTTCGATAACATGGCATTTGCCAATGCTTATCAGACTTAGATTCCTTTGCCTTCTGACTCAGTTATTTTCAATATTGTCTTTAATTGTAGTTCAGTCTTATATGGAAATTCATTCATTTGAGCTGTACTTTTATTTGCTTGTGGTTCTTTGTTTTGGTTGGTTCTCGTTTTATGTGCTTAGATCATCAAGTTTTTGAATGTGGATTTTACTTTTATTTGTGGGGTTTGTTTTGGTTTGGGGTTCTTGCTCTTATGGGTTGGTTTAGGTGGTAGCAGTCAATGATCCTATTGTTGATGCTAAGTCCATGGTAAGAATGTATAGTTAGCTGTGTAGTAGCTGCCACTTTTTCCTTTCTTTTGTTGTCTTTATAATGACTAAGGAATTGGTGTTCTCTTTAAAAGTGTTTGACTAGCAGTGGTCACTTTTTGCATATATTTTTTTTCTGCTATTCTGAGGAAATCCAATTTGAATTCAACAGAGAAGCGAACTCAGGTATCTGACCAACACTTCAGCGAGGGAAGTTGTGAGCTGGGTATGATCACATTCCTGATGTATTTTCTCGTTTCCTATTATTCATTTTCTTCTCCCTTTTATTCCTTGCTAGAACATAGCCCACTCATACGAAAATTATGTGTATATGGTTCTCTTTAGAGTCCCATGTCCCTGTTGAAAATCATGACTGTTTTTATTTGAATTTTAGGACAGCTTACATTGGGTCTCTGCTCATTTTTTGGAAAATAATTTTTGCAGCTGAAGTTAAGTAGTTGGAAGGTTGGGTCCAATCTGAAGCTGGAAAATACTAAAGCTCTTTTTGGGGAGAAGTGTCCACAGCTTTAGTATGTAATAATTTATTTATTCTCAAAATGTTTCATGTGTGACACAAAAATTAAGAGTATACACAATTTACGACCAAAGTATCATTTAAACTTGTCAAAAAAATTATACGATTAAAGGATGTAAACTTGTAGCTTGTGGATTTGATTCAGCTTGAAAAGTGATCAAAAGAACATAAATTGAACAGTAAGTATTTGTAATTTGGAGATGAGAAGATTTGGTTTAGTTTTAGGCAGTTCAAAAGTATTTTTAAGATTCGTGTATTATATGGTTTTTTGAAAATTAGCTGCTATTTTTTACATTATTAAGCTTAAATTGATCATCTTAACTTGATTTTATTTTTTGTAGCAATTTTATCGATGACTTTAGTCTTTATGTAAAAATTATTGAATAGCGAGTATGGTTGAGAAATAATGAGATTTTTTTGATTTGTGGGTTACATGAACACAACAAATAAATGTGATGGGTTTGTGTAGGGATATTTGACAAAGATTATTTTATAAGTTAGTTTAAAAGGATTTGGATTTGAAATGAATTCGAATTCTGATCAAATTCAGACTAAATTTCTGTCCTTTTAACAGGCCCATTTTCCAGCTGGAAAGACCACAAAATTTTCAAAGGGAGATCAATCAAATCCACAAAGTCTCAACAAAAATAGTTGTAAGACCAACAATCTGCTTTGGGTCTTTAATATCACAAGCCCGAAAAAAGGAAAGACCAAGACTAATCAAGTCTAACTAACTCCAGGAATAGGTGCATAACATATCAAAGACGACTTAAAAAAAAAAGACTAAATAAAGTTTTAGTGCAACAAAGCTTTAATTCATTGTTCAAAACTAAATTGTTTGTCAGACACCTCACAATATTTTAAAAAAGAAATCCGAGATACAAGGGAAATAAATTAATCAAGCAAGAAATCATCATACAAGTAGAGAGATTCCATCTTTGTACGACTATCAATTTTAGATACGATTCGTAAAATCGACATTAAAATTTTTAAATTTTAGTAAAAAATGAACTCGTTAGATTCTTCAAATAAGTAGATCGAAACTAATTTTGCAAAACATGACACAAACTTTGGAAATGTGAGGGGGTAAAATGGTCTTTTTGTTTGTGTCATTAATGGCGTTCATTTTGTGGGGGTCTCAGTGTAATTTTGAAAATCCGTGTAATAAAAATCAAATATCAGTGGGTGTCAGTGTAATTTACGCTTATTATTATTATCTTAAAACAAATAGCACCAGCAAAAAATTCCTGGGCTTGGATGCACTGTAGCATGCCTTCAATTGCGTGTCCCTGCCTTGGCCGGTTGGTCTCTTCATCGAATAATCAGAGAGAGAAGAGAGAGAGATTTAATTATCCAATCGGCAAAGACGTTTCTTATTCAAGGAAACAGCTTTTACAAGAAACCTCTCCCTTTCTTTTCCTTAGAAGCTAGATTCTGCAATAACCCTCACTCTCGTCTTTATGCACAAAAGGCTTATACAATTAAAATTCTAACCTTGCAACACCACAGAATTGGGATTTGCACAGAGAGAGAGAGAGAGACGAAGGTAAGGGTTTTCTACACAATATTGCTATTCTGATATTTTTCAATTATTTAGCTGATTTGTATGCGTATATGTATAGCTTTCAATGTTCTGATCCTTATTTTGCTGTAAATTCGTACTCTGGTTCTGCCCTTTTTTCATGGCTATTCTGGGTTTTGTCACACACACACACACAGAGTCTGGTGAATAGGGGCACAACGACACTTGTAATCGATTATGAAATTAGGCCGAGTCGGAGAGACTTTGAACCGGGCTTCCCGATTCACAAGTCTTGTGGGTGGTTTGTAATCTGAGGACTAGTCAATGCTGCAAGAGGCCAAAAAAGGTTATAAAAGAAAAATTATCATCCGATTTGTTTTTGGTTTTGATTAGAATGCAGGTAGCTTATATACTGCTTATTTGATTGTCTGAGAGAATAAAAAGTGAAGGGTGGTTTTGTCATTTTTCTGCAACTAGCTTCTATGTATTTATTTTTGTCATGCTAACTACTGCCTAGTAATAATACTCTAGAATTGTTACAGACAGGTGATTTTGTTTGCATATGGCCAACCTTGGTGGAGAACATGAATGGATAGAGAGAGTCAAATCTGAAGGTGCTGTTCCACTTCTTGACCCAGATGATTGTCCAAATGGTTGGGCTTCTCCTTCAGGAAACATTTTCATGGTCAGAGGGCCTGAGTACTTTACAACAAGGGTTAAAATTCCCGGGGGTGATTATCTTCTGAAACCTCTTGGTTTTGACTGGATTAAGGGTCCTACAAAAAGTTTTGAGCTGTTAAGTAATCCAAAAAATCGTGTTAGGAGGGCTGTTGAGGACGAATTTTCTACAGGTGATAAGCCTTTTGTTTGGGCTTTCAACCTACAAGTCCCAAGTAAGGATAATTATAGTGCTGTTGCATATTTTGTAGCTACGGAGCCTGTCCCAGAGGGTTCTTTGATGGACCAGTTTTTGAAAGGGGATGACGGGTTTAGGAATTCACGGCTCAAACTGATAGCTAACATTGTCAAAGGACCTTGGATTGTGAAAGCAGCAGTTGGGGAGCAGGCTATATGCATAATTGGCAGGGCACTTACGTGCAAGTATTGTGTAGCTGAAAATTTCATGGAGATAGATATAGACATTGGATCTTCCATGGTTGCAAATGCAATTGTTCATCTGGCATTTGGTTACTTAACGACACTTACTGTCGATTTAGCTTTTCTGATTGAGGGCCAAAATGAATCAGAGCTTCCGGAACGGATTTTAGGAGCTGTAAGATTCTCTGAGTTGAAACCTGATTCTGCAAGACCGGTTGATTCAGAGTCTGAAGGGAGCACCAGTGATTTGCCATCTTCTTTGCCCACACGATTGTGGAAGTCAATTGGGCAGGGGTTCTCTAACCTTATTCATCCAGGTGCTCAGGAAACTGGCTCCGTCTCTGGCTCTTCACATGTCAATGGGGTTGTCGATCATGAAAAGAGAGACAACGATGTAAATGAATGGTAAGACTTGTGATTATTGAAATTTTCTTAGATATTTTATGTGAAAATGAATGCCTGTAGATCAGTCAATCCTCAAGCTGTTTAGACAAAACTCTAGTTGCTTTTGTTGGAAGCCACTTTCACCAGAAGAAGCTGCAAATATATAACTATCATCAACCATGTTAAATGTAAAGCTTTACTTAATACATCAAAGTTGCTGATAATCCCACTGCTGCTCGTGTTTATCTTTCAGTGAACTGGCCACAGCTGTAGGCCACTAATTCCCGACATGTTTTCTATCTATGCAGAAAATTGGAGATAATGATACTCTCTTGACACACACACACACACACAATTTCCCTATTTTATGTTTGGAGTTTTTCTTTTTTTGTCACCTGCCCATTACACTCATGATCTACTGTGAATTTTTTTTCATAATTCAGTAATGATTCCCATAATTCTCTAATATTTCGATCAGTTTGTAAAAACCATGTGCTTTCTCCTCCAACTCTTTCAATTGTCAAAGGAAAAAAATTAGTAGTCATTCTTAAATATATTGTATGTCGAAAAACTGCCTTCAGTGCCTTTTCGCGTTTTCTCTTGTTGCCAATTCCCTAGTTGAGGACAGACTGTAAAGGCTAAAGAAACCCCAGTATCTCTAATTTATACCAGTGCTTTCATGTTTATTTTGATGCTGACTATGATTGGAATTTGAATGTCATTTTCTGTTGAAATATAAAGGAAACTAAAATATACTATCCAAATTTAGGAGGAAACTATCAGAAGTAGTCATAAAATTTTTCGTGCCCTCTGTTGATTGAAGCTAGGTGGTTTCTACTTGGAAAAGGTTGTTCAATTTGTGATTAGATTAAAGATAGTCTGTTCACTTCATTTTATGTACTTAAGAATTCAGTTTTTCCCAGTTGCATAGTACATTGTTCCCCCCATTTGGGTTGGACCTCTCTTGTCCAACTTCATAATTGTAATATTTTCTTATGATTATTAATAAAATGTGGTTTCTTATCCAAAATAATAATAATAATAATAAAGTATCAAAGTATGTCAAGCTTCTTACATAGTGGTCTTGAAGTCAATAATTCATATCAACATTTCAGTTGGCTCTCTGAATCGATTTCACATAGCTGTGTTTAATTTCGGCATGATATGTTCAAATTCTTTTCTTCTATACTTAATTAACTAGATATGTTTACATTTATTTAATTGTTGTGACATATGCAGATCAGCTAGATGCCTTGATGACCATGAATGGGTCTCCTATTGTTTCACATGCCCACCGTCTTCACTATGATTTTCATGGCTTTAGAATTGTTATTTATTTTCAAGATATCCAATTGTTGGCATTTCTTGTTAACTTTAGTCGTATTCTGGTTATAGTTGTATAATATTCAATTGGCATTTCTTGTTTAACTTAGTCCTATTCGGTTGATTGTTACAAGATATAAACCAATGGCTTTAGCTTTACTCATGATTATATTCAATTGGCATTTCTGAAATTTGACATGGTGGTTGTTAAAGTGGCACGACTGTAGGGTTCCTGTACTACGGATGAACTGTAATTTCATGTGGTAGACATAGTAGAGGGTGAATCTTGACATAATAGTAACGTCGTTAGTCTCTTTGCATGATGGGGATAAAGTTGCATACATCTTATTTTCTTTAAGTCTCCGCAATAACGGGAGTCCCATGAATTGAAGTCAATCGATAGATACATTCACATAGGATAGGAAAATGTGTTGAGGAATCTACAAGAATGACGTTAGTTTTGTGTCATTTTCGTATTTGTGTCAATATTATTGATCCATTTAAAATATCGTGTCAATATCATGTCAGACTATCAAGCACATTCAATCGTTTTACGATTCTCTTTTTTCTTATTCAAACTCACCCCTCATAGGCCTCCCATAAATCAAAAGTGCACTCAACCCAGCAAAACCATGTAAACAAATACTTTATTATATGAGAATTCATATGATACCAAGCGAAAAATTAATAAATATTAATCATATAATACAAATTAAAAAAATTGTGTCAAAATTAGTTTGAGAGTACTTAATACTAATACGACTTATTTATTAGTTATGTTAATATATCATGCTCAATTTCATGATTGATTCGTGTTACTTAATATATCGTGTTTAATAATGACCCAATTTATTTTATTACTGGTCTTAGCATATCATTCATTTTGTGATTTGCATTATGAATGTATTCCCCATTAAGTTCGGCTGCCAACCCACCCAGTTAAAACCGGAAACATAGGTTGGGCAAGTAAAACCCTAAATAACCAAAAGAAGGCTATGGAATGAATGAGAGAGAGAGAGAGAGAGAGAGAGAGAATAAAAAACATAGGAACTCAACCATTCAAAATTATTCAATTTTAATCTTTATTTCCCATTGCAATAAAACGTCGTGTAACATGTGATATAGCTTGTGCTATTCCGGGATTCATAGAATATCAAATGTAAGCATCCTTCTCCTTTTAAGGAGTTGTGTTGTAATTTGGCTCTTGTTTATCAAAAATTGATGCTGTCCCACATCGGGGCTTTGGGTGAGTTTGGGGTGTGTTTATATGCCGACTACTGCACTTCTCCTTTTAAGGAGTTGTGTTGTAGTTTGACTTCTGTTCATAAAAAAAAGAGACTGTTTTTGCAATAACATGCAACATGAGGAAAAAATATACCCCAGATGTAATGTAGTGCCACTGCCTAGTGACAGAGACATTATTTATGGCTGCAAATAAATGTTTTCCCCTCCTTTCAGACAGTTGAAATTGAGTTTACTTGCCTGGGCGGCACATCAGGCTACAAGCAACAAAATAGACCTACAAGCAACAAAATGTAGTTCAACTAGTTCTCCTACCTAAGGGTATTTCAACCAACAGAGATTTACACAGAGTGAAAACTAGATAGAAATTGAAGAAGTTTTAGACGGATGGATAAATAGGACGAAGTGTGATGGATGGAATAATTAAAAAGAACCCCCAACCCAACAAGAGAGAGAGACATTAAAATGATCAAAACACATAATATATGTAACGATTCATTAATATTGTTCTAAAATCCTCACAAAGGTCCTATCGGTGATGTCACATCCAAATATCTTATAGAGAATTATCTCAAATCCAAAGTTCAAACATTGATAAGTGAATAGACCCATGCAAAATCTTCCATTTATCTAATAGAAATCTCTCTTTCAATCGGGCATGTCGCTGTCTGTGTTGCTCTCCTATTTGGGGAAGGACATTTTACCAGCAACCGGGAACAATTGAGGTGATACAACGCAGTGTACAAAATTGTGAAGGGGGAAGCATGAACTTAGCAAAAGGAGAAGCCACCCTAGTGAAAGCTCAATAAGAAAAACCAGTATGCTCATTTCTGGCCAGAGTATTTCTGATTGAAGGAAAATATCAATCCATGCTTCTCAGAATCTCATTTGTGCCAGCATTTAGAACTTTTCCAAAATGATATTTTTTTCCAAGTAAAAAAGTACAGATGTTACTATTTTCCATGAAAGCTCGTCAACGACAAAACTAAGCTTCCCTGCAAGCCATTCCATACAATTATAATGACATTACTTTTCAGAGGACTTATTACTATATATGAGACTGCATTATGAGCTAAGTCAACTCCAATAGCCCAGTCACAAGCCAATTACCAGGCAATCTTCTTGGCTACATTTATGAAAAACTCATACATACTAAAATTCATTTGGTGGTTTCAAAGATACAACTGATAGAGTGCATCACAAATACCACCCTAACCTTTTTCTGCAATAATACAACTATTATCACAATGAAATTACACACGGAGAAAGAAATATATATACAGGACACGATAATCTATTCATTTACGCGATAAAGGGCAAACTTTAACATTACATAGTAAATGTAACAGAAAATCATTTTTTCCTCGTTTCATTGAGTTAAAAATGGAGGAATAAAAACTGAACTTGTTGGGTCCAGGATCCAACAGGTAAGGAAAACGCTTCTTGAGCAGAGAAGCATTAAAATAACAAAGGGGATTAGTGACCTCACATACCATGAATGCTTAAGACATGACATACATTCAAGAATCTAAAGAGCTAGAGGAGCAGTCTCGGATAACTCGCATGTTTTTATCAGTGGATGATAGTGCAAATGTAAAAATCTTGTACACGAGACGAACAGTCCTGCATAAAGACTGGGTACAAGATAAAAGTAGGATGACCTTCATGTAAGTCCAGCCGACCTCCGTGAAGAATATGGTAAGATCTTGACCAAAAGCTACACAAGATTGGCACCAGTATCTGGCAGTGTACTCATCTGCAAGGTTCTGCCATTTCCAGAAGCAAGAAATCGAACAGACGGCAAGGATGGATCTGTAACGGGTTCAATCTCAAGAAAGTTGAAATCAAATGCACCAGACTTCTTCAAAGTTAACACAAACACAAGCATAATCCATCCCAACATTGAAACTGCCCAGTAATTGTTCATCCCATGGATCAAACCCCATGCAATAGAGTACCCAACAATGATTCCTGATAAATGACCAAGAAAACTTGCTTGCGGAACGATTATTGAGGTAAATATAAGGGACTCAAATGGTGCAAAACTAATGGGAAGCGAAAGAAACCCAAAAAGTTCCAACTTAGAAGAAGGTTGCTTCGCCGATAGAATCGTCATCCACCCAAAAACCACACAAGAATATCCAACAGCAGTTACTCTTCTGAAATATTCAAGCTTGAATTTTTGTATCAAAACATGATATGCACCCAAAACAAGCAAACCAGATAAAACAACCAACACAAGGGTGTAATGGAGATAAAACTCCACCCCAAGACCAATGTGCTCTAACTGTTCGACAACTCCAAGGCTCCAAAGTGCACTCATATTAAAAACTAGATGAAGAACACTAATATGGGAAAATGCAGATGTTATTACCCTCCAATAATGACCTTCAAGGGCATGTTCATAACTCAAACCCACATGTGAATATCCAATGCTTTTCTTCTGTATATAAAACCAAATTGCAGTACATAGTCCTATAATACAACTTGTAGCTGGCTTTTCTAAAATCTCATAAAACAGTGGTTTCCCCATGTAGAAACCCCTTTGTACACAAGCGCAAGAGCGCCAACACAAACTCTCACTAGAATGCTGCAACCAGTATCTTTTGAACTCAATACACAAATTTCCACAAAAATTAAGACCTTCACTCCAAGATGACCCTGCTATCAAGAATTTGAAACCCCACAGTTTATTCTGACAATCGTAAAGCCCTAAACGACCAACACAACAAAACCCGTTTCAAGAATTCGCCAATACCAATAGATTCAGATGTACTAACATCTACTACTGATCAAAAGCCCCACAAATCATAAAACTCGCACAACCCAGATCAACAAATCGAAAACTTGGGTTCTTCATAAATCAATCAAACAACTTCTAATTCCTATGAATTTCAACAATTACTGAAGGCTTATAGGAAGTAAAGACCAGCCATATTGTATACTCAAAGATTAAATCCAATTATTATTAAATACTAAGAAATTTGAATGAAAAAGCAAAGAATTTTAGCTTTACCAAGTTAGGGCTTTTGAGGGGTCAAAGAATTCGAAGAATTATGGTTTAGAAACAGGGAATCTTCGCACCGTTGGCTCCAAATCGGTTCGAGTTCGTCGAGAG